GGCGGAAGGTGAGCCAGCATGTGCCCAGGTGGCCACGGCAGCCACCAGCATCCTGGCTTGTATCAGCAATAGTGTGGCCAGCAGGACTAGGGCAGGGATCATCCCTCTGGACTTGGCACTGGTGACACCACACCTGGAATCCTGGGTTCAGTTCTGTGCCACAAGAAGGACATTGAGGGGCTGGAAGTTGTCCAGAGCAAGACAACGAAGCTGGGGAAGGGTATAGAGATGAGATATGGTGAGGAGCAGCTGAGGGACCTGGGGGTGCTGAGCCTGGAGCAAAGGAGCCTTAGGGGAGACCTCACTCTCTACAACTCCCTGACAGGAGGTTGGAACCAAGTGAGGGTTGTTCTCTTCTCCCAAGTAGCCAGTGATAGGACAAGAGGAAACGGCCTCAAGTTGTGCCAGGGGAGGTTTAGGTTGGATATTAGGAAAACTTACTTTCTTCCCTCCAAGTGTTGTGAAGCCCTGTCCCAGGCTGCCCAGGGCAGTGGTGGAGTCCCCACCCCTGGAGGGGTTTCCAAGCTGTGGAGCTGAGGGACACGGGTCAGTGGGGACCTGGCAGTGCTGGGGGAATGGTTGGACTTGATCATCTTCAAGGTCTCTTCCAACCAGAACAATTCTGTGATTATTTTGGACTGCAGATTGGGCATGTGTACATGGGGCTGTGAGGGTGGATCTAGCTTTTATGTTCTGAACTGCTCACTGAGCAGGTGTGTGTCTGTCTCCTGCCTCTTGGGGGCCACGTATCCATGGATGTGAGACTTGGCCACCCCTCAAAGAAGTGTTAAAATACAAATAGTTGTATTGCATGTCCCATTAACAGGGAGTGTTTGGACTGCAGATTGGGCATGTGTACATGGGGCTGTGAGGGTGGATCTAGCTTTTATGTTCTGAACTGCTCACTGAGCAGGTGTGTGTCTGTCTCCTGCCTCTTGGGGGCCACGTATCCATGGATGTGAGACTTGGCCACCCCTCAAAGAAGTGTTAAAATACAAATAGTTGTATTGCATGTCCCATTAACAGGGAGTGTTGCAGGAGAGCGACTGCAGGGAGCAGCTGGCTGCTGGTCCCCATGGGCCCTCTCCTCAGGATTTCTGAGGTGGTTTGGAGCAGCTGGTGAAGGAGCACTGGTGGCATTGCTGGGCTGCCTGTCTAGTGGAGAAGTGATTTTTATTTTTCTTTTCCTGTTTTTAGCCTTTCTCTTTGTTTCATCACAGTAACTCATGGACTTACTTTACAGAACTCATGTCTCTTTTAATAGACCAGCTGTACGAAATGCTTCAGTTAAAAGATGAAATCACAGCCCTCATGTAGAGGTCTTGGTGCCAGAGGTGGGGCTGTGGTCTTGCACATACGATGCAGCCTCACCAACACTCTTCTTCCAAGCACAGAAACTGCTGTGTGTACCCAAACCCCTGTCCAAGGTGCTCTGGAAGGCACTGCTAGCTGTGGGGGAAGGGGATCCTTGCTGAAAAACTAGGATTGTGTTTTAATTTTTTTTTAACTTCATTTATGTATCTAAACCTCACTGGCTAGCTACAAACTTGTTTGCTGTCAGAATGGCAACAGGTACAAGAACACACTGAGGAGGTCAGTGAAAACTGGCCCAAATGGGAACAAAAAAGCCCAGTCCCAGAGTCTTGATCCTGTTGTGTCTGTTGTATCAGCAAGGGATGGGAGCAGAATTTGGTCATGTGAAGTGTACAGACCTTGTTTTTGTGTAACTGGAAGCCTGTGTGTGCATCAGGGAGGGGAGCTGCTCCCACCTGCCAGCTGGAGTGAGGACACCAGGCACTGCCAGCCGCCGGGCACGGGGTGATAAAATACACAGGTACAGGAATGCTCTGGGTTGGTTTGGTTTTTTTTTAAATGAATTTTTTTAAGAAACTGCATACATCAGAGACAAACAATAATTTAAATACCATGCAGTTTCAGTATGTACAAAAACTAGGACATAGAGATCCAGTTTAATTTTTGTTTTTTTTCCTAGTTATTTACATCATTTTCATACAGCCATAATCTGTTAAATTACAATACTGGAAGAGCACATGATTGACAGCCACCACACTCACTCCTATACAAAGACAAACTATATACATACACTTGGATATCCACTGGAAAATGCAACTGGTGCAGGAGGAGCTGGGAGCCACGGGAACGCAGGTACTGTGCCCAGCACCTCCTCTCTTCACAGAAGTTGTTCCAAGCTTGAGCAGAACGAACACCTGGGGAAAAATCAGTTGTCCCCTTTTTCTTTCCTGATGTTTTTATTAGCCCAGTCGTCTCCCATGGCTGTTGGTGCAAGGGGATTTTATTTGCAGGCACGTTAGGGAGCCTGGTCAGGTGTCACTGTGGGTTTCCACCTGGCCCCACTGTCACTCTGCGGCGTTTCCACGCTGTGGATGGCACTGGAGGATGATGAAGGGTGAGTGGCAGCTGGCTGCAGCCACGACAGAGTGCTGTGCTCACAGATACTCAGCTGAAATGTGGTTGTGTCATGGGCTCGATAAATTGTTACCATAAAAGAGTTAAAAGTCTCTTCTCTTCCCCCCTTCCCTCTCCTCTGAGCAGATCTAGAGTCAGCAGTTAGGTGTTGTCTAGACACAGGAGCTGGGCTGAGCCCCATCCCAGCAAACCTGCAGCCTGGAATCTCTGCAGCTTGCAAGCGCCTCGCCAGCGGGGCGTGGGGGGGGAAAGGCACCACGCTGCCCTGCCCTGCTGCTCCCCAGCTTCCTCCTCGGCCTTCTGAGGCACAGGACGTGCACTAATACACATGACTAACCCATCAGCAGTCAGCAGATTAGAA